ACCAATCACTTCTACCAGATTGCTGTAGTGTCACGGAATTGCGGCCTCCTCTATATGCAGCTGCTTTCTTCTTCTTCTGACACTTCATTTCAGCTGCCTTCTCAGCTTTTGATAACTTTTTCTCGTCGTCGCTATCTGCAACTAATTCGTCGGAAATGTACTCCTGGACTACGTCCCAGCCATAGTCTGAGTGATCTGCAATACATATGAGTTTCTGCCTCTCTTGAATGGCATCCATACCTTCCTTAATGGCTTGTTTGGATTTCTCCAGTACATTGACAGGAACAGCAAGCGTCGCCGCACCATCGGGGATCGCAATAGTCTTCAGTTCAGCTGCAGCCTCCTCTATTTTCTCCAAGACTCCCTCATTGAACCGGAACTGCTTCTCGTTGCCCTTCCTCTTGAACTCCAGCGGTAGAGTTCGCTTGACATGCTTCACGACAGTATCCGCTACTTCCTCCTTGTTCTTTTTGATGTCCTCCCTTATCTCCTTGATCTGTTGTTCCATAGCTGTTCTCGAGTCATTAACAGCAGCTAAAAGCTCCTCTAATCTCTCTGCCATCTCGGGATGACTTGTAGATTTGGTAGTTGGTACAACAACACAAAATATATGTATCTTCAGCAAGGTAGGACTATGATCAATCCTCAATTCCCGATCTACTGTAACCAAATTCCTCTCAATCACCACAGTGTGCACATTGACTTAGAATTGAAGATACCTTCCCTGCCTTTCCTTAAATATCAACCACCCACACAACCTAAATTGTGATGTCATGCTAATGCATCCTTAGGGAGCTTATTTTCTGTCTAATTCACTACGTTCAACCGACATAAAATACATTTTCTCCAATACAACATGTATAGAAGAAATGTAAGTGTGGACATACAAATATATATACAAACATCGCACTTGGGTGAAATTGGTAATAGGAACGACCCTGGGGGCTACGCCCCCAGGTCGTTACAAACTTAGGTCCAGAGCAGGGTTCGAACCTGTGGCCTCATGCTTTTGACTTCTAGAACTTCAAGCATTATCCACTACACTACTGAGTCACTCTTGAGCTAATGTTGCATATTTATAGTTAAATTGTATTGCTACCCCGGCGTTTATTCGAATGCGGCTTCTATTTAAGGAAATACGGGTATATATATATATACCTGTTATATATATTATCTGTTATATATATGTCTGTGAATACAGATATACTTATATAATATGTCGGTATTATACAGTCATTATATGACTGTTATAATGTAATAGTAATAATATACAGTTATAATGACATATAATACTGTATAATGACAATAGAGTACAGCTGAGTTTAGAGTATCATTATTGGTTGTACATTAATTTGTTATAGTAGGAGAATGATTGTATATACTCAATACTAATACTGGTCCTTCTTACATGCAATTAAATAATACACAAATTATTGATAAATATTTTTTTAAATAGCAACCAATTTTTGATTTGTATTAATGACTATTATTAATCACTTAGGAATAGAAGAAACGTTAATTGGAGTAGAGAAAACATTAATTGAAAGAGAAAAGGAGATAGAACAGTTACAGGAAAAGATATCATTAATGAATATACAACAACTGAAAGAAACTTCAATTACTCTTAGTATGTATTACATTATATTAACATAATGACTAGTACTGGTATTTTAGGAAAGGATCAGTCTACACAATCAATAGATCCACCAAAAGGACCAGTTTATGTAGCTATTAGAGACTGGGAGGCAAGATCAAGTATATATACTTGGCTTTCAGTGAAGAAAGGAGAGAAACTTGAGATCAAGGAAGAGCGTACTAGTGGATGGTGGCTAGCAAGATCATTAGATACTGATCGAGAGGGATTTGTTAATATTGCTCATATTAAAAAAGATGAAGAGAGTGAACTGTCAACATTGGAATCACTTGAACTATTTCATTATGCAATGACAGAAAATGTTGACATACCTAAAATCAAGGAAATTAAGACGAGGAGCAACGTTGAGAGAGCAAGTCTCTTTTTATCATTAATTAAACAAGATTCAGTTCTGCTAGATCAACTTAGAAAAGAACATGGTAAGATATATTTATATGTACTAATAATCTATAGAGTATTTTGAGGGCATTAGATATTGTCCATTATCTGCAAAACTATATATATTTTTTAAATCAAAATTTTGGTGTTTCGGCAAGCAAAATTTAGTATTTCCATACAACATTTTTTGGCAAAATACAAATTTTTATACATCATAAAATCCACAAAAATAACAGCTATACAGAAGTGTGGCTTGCCTTAGTCATTAGAAATATAATAGTAGAGAATTATACTTGATAATACAGTAATTAATTATAATTGTTTATGTATTCAGGAAAACCTAAAGCAATTAGGTGGTATGATGATGGTGTTGAACTGACCTCTCCATCTTTAATACAATGTCAAGAAGTAGTTTCTCTATTAACATACAAACATGCATTTATTATGATCATCAAATCATCTCCTGACATTGTGTGTGATCTGTTGCCAGTTTTATTACAAAATGAAAAGGTGAAATTCTTGACAATAAAAGACACTCAACTAACACAGGACTGCATCTCATCCTTATGTAACTTGCTGGCTAATAATAAATCATTAGAAGAATTACATCTTTTTGACTGTTCCATTGATGACAAAGCAGTTGCTGATATTACAAATGTACTACAAACACACAACACACTTAAAGAATTAGTCTTCTTTAATAATCCTCATATTACTTCAGTTAGTGCTCAGTCTCTTTCTGAACTAATTATCAACAATTCAACATTAACTCAATTACAAGTAAGTGGCACTTCAATATCATCTGATGGAATATTACAAATTCTTCAATCGTTAACAATTAATAAAAAGATAAAGCTCTTTCTAGATCCAAAAGACAAAGACACATGCACAGAATACCATGACTATAATATTATAAAAGATAGAGTAATATTTCAATAATTAATAATAATAATTGTATTTTTGCTTTTTTGACAATGCTGACTCATCAATTATTTAATAATTATTAATTTAAACACAAAATAATTAACAAAGTGATTTATGATAAACACGTACAAAAACAAGTAAATACAAAATAATAATAATAATAATAATAATAATAATAATAATAATAATAATAATAATAATAATAATAATAATAATAATAATAATAATAATAATAATAATAATAATAATAATAATAATAATAATAATAATAATAATAATAATAATAATAATAATAATAATAATAATAATAATAATAATAATAATAATAATTGGGTTCACCCATTTTAATAATAAATTATTATTGCAATCAAAGACAATTAAAATAAAATAGAAGAGAATAGTACAACCAGCTTATTGGGCAAGCAGTACATGTGTCAGTTGTTATTAAAATAATAATAATAATAATAATAATAATAATAATCATTAATTTATTATCTTATTATAACTGAACTATTATGATGGTCCTTTGTCCCCTCCCCCTCCTCCACAGCATCCTCCCTTAGCACGTGGTGTATCAGTCTGTCTTAAGAGAGAGGCACCAGCTGGTAAACTAGTTAAACAATCTGGTGGTAACTTACGAGCTATGAGACAAGAGAGAGAGAGAGAGATTATGTTACAATAGTACATACTACAGTACATCATTAGTAGCTACTCACTTATTTCAATGAACATTTCCTCAACATTCCTAGCAGTGAGGGCACTAGTCTCTCCAAATATGGCATTAACTTCTGATGCATAAGTCTGACATTGTTCAGCTGGAATCTGAGAGGAGAGGAGAAGGGAGGAGGGAGAGAAAGGAGAGGAGATAAAAGGAGAGTGTAGTAGAGAGAGGGAGAGAGAGAGGATTTATTACATTTTTTGATACATATTGATGTCCTTATATGCTGTGTATAAAGTTTGAGCAGATTCCGACTTCAATTTTTCAAGTTATTACCATTTTT